AAAACATGGAAGACATGACGATTTCCTTGAATATTTTTATAATGGGAGAGATCTGAAAATATTTGAAAGCAAAAGAGACAAACTTTAGGCAGGAAGAGTTTGGAATAAACAGAGGAAGAAGAATTAGGAGAACAAGAAAAGAAAGATTGAGAACCAGACTGTAGAGATCAGGACTCTCTCTTGGCTACTACAAGGGGGACTGGTATGCAGTGATGAAGCAAGAGGTTTTATAACCGAAACATGCCAAGGCTCTGCATGAAATGTGAGTTTGGGGTTTGTGCATTTGGATAGGGGTTTTGGAAACATAAGTAGAGGTTTACATGTCTTTTAAGAATACCTAACGCTACTTTATCAGTTTTGCAGTACATACGAATAGAACCCTTGACAATGAACTAAAGAACCCCAGCAGGGAGGAAAAGAAAAGAGTATGTATGTGAAGAGATTGTATTTCCAAAACTCTACTTGTCAGGTTACTATGGTTAGTCTAAACAAACAGTAGATTAATGTGTATAAATTCTGTAACTTCCTCGTTTTATGATCTTCAAGGAAATGGTGGCTTAGTGTTGACCCTTTGTTCAAAGATAATTACTCTTACCTGAATAAAGATAATTACATTTCTAAAATTAGTAGGCAGATGGCTCTCAAGAGGGACATTAATGAAAGAAAAAAAAAGCAGGCAAAATTTAGAAAATGTCTTATTTTAATGATTCTAAATGCTATGGATGATTTTAGCTTAGTTGAGAAAATTTTACTGAAAGCAGCTCATCCTATAATGTGAGTCAAAGACAAATTAATGATAAATTTAAGGTGCCTTCATTCATATCAGTAGGAAACTGACATAAAATGTGATCAAAGCAAACTAAATATTTTTACTTGTTATGAAGATCTGTTGAAATTAAACCCATGATGTCATAAAGACATATAAGCAAAAAGTCTCTAAAAGTTAGGGCAAAAAACCAAGGGAGGTTGGGGGCAGTGGCTGGTGCCTGTAAACCCAGCACTTCGGAAGGCTGAGGCAGGTGAATCACTGGAGGTCAGGAGTTTGAGAACAGCCTGGCCAACATGGTAAAACCCCATAACTGCTAAAAGTACGAAAACCAGCTGGGTGTGGCAACAGGTGCCTGTAATCCCAGCTACCCGGGAGGCTGAGGCACGAGAATCACTTGAACTGGGAGGCAGAGGTTGCAGTGAGCCAAGATCGCACCACTGCACTCCGGCCTGGGCAATAGAGTGAGACTCAGCCTCAAAAAAAAAAAATTCATTTTACAAATACAAGTATTTACTTTTTAAAATGTGATAAGAAAACCTCTGAGGTAATAATTTTAAATTGTACATGGTTTGACAAAAACACAGATATACCTACTGTTTTTGGAATATGTACAAAACATACTGCTCATGGGAGAAGAAGCAGTTTGAAATAATTGCCTAGATATAGTAGGTGTGTGTACTTGCAAATATACAAAATGTTAAAAAGTGTAAAAAAAAAAAAAGTAAAGGGGTAAAGTGTATGTTTCTATGTTGCTGGGGCAAATGTGAACCCTGTATTTGAGGAGCATGAACATTCTGTCCCATAGAAAACAAGCGGAAAAAAAAAAGAGAGAGAGAGTTCACTAGGTTGTCTCATATAAAATAAAATTTCTCAGCAATCAAACAATTTGAGAACAGTGTTAAGAAGTGTTGTTCACTGCCTCAAAGATTCTTAATTCTTGCATAATACAAATTTCCCAGTATGTAAAATAACCTAGATTCCACTGTAAGTTTTAAAACTGCCTTTCAAAAGTACATCAGTAACATATTAATTTAGATAGCATTAGTGCCTCTGGTCTGGCCCCCTCTGAACAAGCTGGATATTCAAATTATAGACATTCAACCTGAAAACAGATTCCTGCACTGCAGCCCAGCATGGGGTCTGATCTAGAGCACCTATGTCAATATCTAACAGCTCCATATAAATGTCACAGCAAACTTGCATGCAGAAGGATATAACCAAGTACTAATTTTTTGTCATAGATTCATCCAAGGTTCAAACTTAAAGAACCAATTACACTATCTCCAATATAATATAGGTATAGGCCAGGCCTCAACTATTCACATTTGGGCTAAATAATTATTGGTTTCAATGCACAGGGCTTTCCAGTGAATTGTAAAGAGTTCAGCAGCTTCCCTGGCCTCTATGCATTAGATAGATGATGGTGGCATGCTTGAACTGTGGCAACAAACAGTGTCTCCGGACATGCCAAAATGTACCCTGTGGAACAAAAGTAACCCTAGTTGAGAACCACTGATTGAAGTTAAATGTTGAGACTACAGAATCAGGCTTCCTGGGTTTAAATCCTCACTCCACCTCTCACCAGCTGTTACTTTACTCTTACAAACAAATGCTGGGGTTCATTAGTTACTTATTACAAATAAGTTACCTAATTTGCCTGTACATCAGTTTCCTCATCTGTACAATGCAGATTTTAATAGCACCTACCTCAAATGTATCTTGTGAAGATTAAATAAGTTGATATGTAAAGCCCTTAATATATAAGTCCATGATATATAGTAAGTGATTAACACATTTGAATTCTATTATTATGATTTGATTTATATAACCATTCACTACTTGCAAAACTGTTTCATAAACATGTTCTCTCATTTGATCGTTATAGCCACTTTGTGTGTCAGTGTGTGAGGGAAGGTTGAGGCTGTTATGTGTCCTGAAGATCTATGTTGGGTAACGTATGCTTTATTTTTATCTCTAATTTCCAGTGAAGGAAACTGTAGCATAGAGAAAATAAATAAGGATTGCTGGAAATCACACATGCGTAACATACAATTTACCATTTTAACTATTTTTTAGTGTACAGATCAGCAGCATTAAGCACATTCACACTGCTGTACAACCACCACCACCATCCACTCGTGGAGCTTTCATCATCCCAAGAGAAAATCCATACTCGTTGAACAATAACTCCCCATTCCTTTTCTCCTCATCCACTAGTAACCACCATATGGCTTTCTGTCTTTCTCTGTGTATTTGACTACTCTAGGTACGTCATATTGAAGAGGGAAGAGAAAATTAGCGAAACAACATGACATAAAATTAAAATAACTCTAGCAAGCAGAAAAATGGTTTGTAAGGAGGCACCCCTGGAGCCTAAGTTAAGGAAAAATAGTAAGTGCTTCTCTTCCCTTCTGCAGAACTTTTACCTTATCTATGTTCAACGTTCCTTAAAAGTTTCTGTAAGTCCATGTTTTGCTGGTAGAACAGCTGCAAGGCCACCGTGCAGATAAGCTAAGTTGCAAACATGTTTTTCAAGATGTAAGACATGCCACAAGACATGGCAGGGATGACTTACTGCCTGTGCACCCATTTCTGTAAAACATACTTCCTGTTTTTTATTTTCGCCCCCTGAGGAGCATAAAAGAAAGCCTGTCTGCTTTGTCTAACGCTCAGTCATTTTGGACACGAATATGAGCTGGACCGGTGTACACCTAAAATAAATCTTCCTGCAACCTCAACGGTCTCTCCAGTCTCTGAATCCCGCTACAATATAAATGCAGTCATACAATATTTATACTTTTGCGCCTGGCTTATTTCACTTAGCATAATGTCTTTAAGGTTCGTCTATCTAGGAGTATGTGTCAGAATTTCCTTCCTTTCTGAGGCTAATATTCCATTGTATGTATATATATCATATTTTGTTCATCCGTTTATGTGTTGAACGCTGGGATTGTTTCCACTTCTTGGCTATTGGAAGTTGCTATAGACTGAATGTGTTACTTCAAAATTCATATTATGAAATCCTGTCCCCCAGTGTGGTGGTTTTAGAAAGTGAGACCTTTGGGAGTTGATTAGGTCATGAGGGCTCTGCCATGAGATTAGTGCCCTTATACAAGAGAACATGGAGTGTTCCCTTCCTCCTCTGCCTCTTGATGTGCCAGTGAAATGGCAGCCATCTGTAAACCAGGAAGGCAGCTCTTACGACAAGGAATCTGCTAGTGCCTTGATCTTGGATCTTGTGAGAAATAAGTTTATGTCATTTATAAACAACCTGGTCAATGGTAATTTGTTACAGCAGCAGACAAAGAAGCCATACCACTTTAAAGCTGAGATTTCAGACTCCTGGTCTAACGATCTTTCCAATATCACAAAAGGAACTGAAGGTTTTATATACTAAATTCTCCCCCAAACTCAAGAGATTTTCAGCAAAATAATCATCATGTGTAAAATAATTAGCCAACTGAAATATTGATGCTGAGATTCTGTGAATAAATGAATCAAATGGCTAAGCTGGGTTCATTCAGACTTTATCTAAGTTTCCTTAAGCTTATCTCTACATTCTCCTTTTCCCTATTTTTTAAAAAAGGAAACAATTTATAGAAAGATAACAACAGATTGTTAGCTGATGCAATATCTCCAGAATTTTTTCTTCTTCTTCTTCTTCTTCTTCTTCTTCTTCTTCTTCTTCTTCTTCTTCTTCTTCTTCTTCTTCTTCTTCTTCTTCTTCTTCTTCTTCTTCTTCTTTTTTAGACCAGGCCTTGTTCTGTTGCCTAGGCTGGAGTGCAGTGACACAATCACAGCTCACTGCACCACAAACTCCTGGACTCAAGCAATCCTACTGCCTCAGCCTCCCAGGTAGCTGGGACTATACATACATACCATGAAATCCAGCTAATTTTTTTCTATAACTTTTTTTTTTTTAGAGACTGGGTCTTGCTATATTGCCCAGCCTGGTCTTGAACTCCTGGGCTCAAGCAATCCTCTGCCTCAGCCTCCCAAAGTGCTGGGATTACAGGTCTGAGCCACTACACCTGGCCTCCAGAATTGTTTCTAGAGGTGAAACTTCAAGGTGAAATATAGTACATAACTGCTTTTCAGATTAAAAAAAAAAAGTCCAGTGAGCGCATTCTCTTGCATTCTCTTGACCTGAGCTAAGCTACTGCTAGCACTTGGCATCACTACAAAAACTCAAGGTGTTTCCAATCCACTAGAGCATGTGAACAAAGCCTGCTTCCAAAGCTAGCTTCCATCTGGCAATCCCATTAACACCTGGGCACAGCTCTTCCCTGGAGCTCTATGCAGAGGGTATCTCCTCTCTAGGACTATACAAGGACTGAACAAGAAGGAGGAGGACAGAGCAGAGCCATGAACACTGTCCTGGAAATCCTTCTGCTTCTGATCACCATCATCTACTCCTACTTGGAGTCATTGGAGAAGTTTTTCATTCCTCGGAGGAGAAAATCTGTGGCTGGGGAGATTGTTCTCATTACCGGAGCTGGGCATGGAATAGGCAGGCAGACTGCCTACGAGTTTGCGAAACGACAGAGCAGACTGGTTCTTTGGGATATTAATAAGGTAATGTATACATCTTCTGACCTTTTGAAGTCACAGAGTAAGACGTGTATTTTAAGAATTATTTGACTTACCATCTGCTTATCTTTGGATTTTTGTTTTTCAAAGTTTCATAAATTCCCTGGAGCCTTAGTCTGTGTATGCATCAGGTTAGTTAGATGAAGGGAATGTAATTGAAAACTAAGTAGTGATTATTGACATGGCATGCACATTGATAGCAAAGACTCAGGAGCCAGGCTCCTTCCAAGCTGCTAAATGAGGTAAGTCACGTACTTTCTGTCAACCTCAGATTTCTTGGCTCTGAAGTGAGGATAATAACTTAGGGGATGGGCAAGAACGGGATCTGAAAATTACAGTTAATGGACCGAACCTGGCCAGTGGGCAGCCTGTTGAACTAAGAATGATTTTTACATTTTTAAAGGTCACCAAACAAAAGTCAGGAAGAACATTCAACAGAAACCCTGAGTGCCTCCCTTCATGCACACACAACACAATCCTAAAATATTTACTATCTGACCCTTTATGGAAAATGTTTGCCAGTGTCTCTAGTCAAAAAAATTAAATAAGTGAATATTTTCAGCACTTTGCACATGGAAGTGATACTTGGCACATGATAAACAATAGCTGTGTTAAATAAAATCTACGTGCAGTGAGTCAGGTTTTCCTGACAGAAGTATTTTTCATGTGTTCTTATTTGTGAATACTACATTAACCACCCCAAATAAAACTGAAGTAACAGAAATCTTGTGTCATTTTCTCTAAACTTGTAAATTCTGGTAAGGCCATGAACATATACACAGAAAAGTGTTTACGAGATTTCAGGATTGGAAAAGTTGTGAAGTACTTCTTGAGAATCAGACTTCCTGCAAACTACAGTGGGATTTTAATTACCATTATGTTATTACTTTCTCATGTTCTTGGCTGTCATGTCTAGTTGAAACTTAAAACGTCTCTAAAACTTAGAGAACTAATTCTTCTCTAGTTCTTTCTGAATGGTGAAGAATACTACACAAAAAAAGCTATTACATTTTTATTTAACAGAGATGAGCTTGTATATAATAGATTAGTATATATATATATATATATGTGTGTGTGTGTGTGTGTGTGTATACACACACACACATATATATATGATTTGGCATCTGTATGGTCTATTAAGAAATTCAAATGAACTTTCTGGAAGATAGCAAGAATTTACAAATTGAGAAAATTGTTGCCTGCTGTTCTCAGGCATTTGTCCAAAAATATAAATAAGTATAAATCCATGAAAAGGGCTTGATGAAATCTAACCTTCGAGTCTCTTTCCACATATGTATTTTTGGGGAAAGAACTATGTTTACTAAGTTTTTTTTTTTTTTTTAATTTCCAGTGACAAGAGAAAAGTAAATTAGAAGGAAGTTGTATTAAAAATGACAAGACCAGGCTCAGGGGCTCACCCCTGTAATCCCAGCACTTTGGGAGGCCAAGGTGGGCAGATTGCTGGAGCCCAGGAGTTCCAGACAAGCCAGGGCAACATAGCAAAACCCCTGCCTCTACAAAAAATACAAAAATTAGCTGAGTGTGCTTGTGCGCACCCATAGTCCCAGCTACTTGGGAGGCTGAGTGGGAGGATCGTTTCAGTTCAGGAAGCCGAGGTCGCAGTGAGATGTGATGGCAGCACTGCACTCCAATCTGGGCGATAGAGCCAGGCCCTGTCTCAAAAAAAAAAAAAAAAAAAAAAAAAAAAAAAAAAAAAAGTCTTAAGAAGAATGGATAACCTAACCTCAAAAATTCTCTTTGAATCATTAAATTTTATGGTTAAACACTTAAGCTACTGAATGATCCACTCCATGGCTGTAATGTAATTCGTATCTCCTTTAGCTGAGGAAGATGCTCGGTGAGTTTTCCCCATAACTGGCTCCTTTTGCCCTGTGAGATGAGAGACACAGTAGCAGTTTGGCTCTTATGCAATCTAAACGCTTTGGGAATGCAGTTCAAAAAACACACTGGCGTTTAAGCTAAAGCAAGTGTTTTGCTAACAAAAAGACAAGGCATTACATTTTGCAATTGTCTAGCTCAGTTATAAAATGGAAGAATTATTAATTATTCAATCAAAACATCTGATGAATGCTCTGGTTACTAATGCTCTCTACTAACCTAGAAACCAATAAGAATATGTTGTAGTTTGGGCAGTCTGGCAGTGAGCAAGCTACCAGCTGCAGCCTAAGTCAGGGAAAGACTCTCCTCCTGTTTTCACTCTTCTGTAGTCCCACAAAAGGCTAATTGAGGGGATGCTGCCTTTGCGACTGGGTCCTAACATCTATGTTTGGGGATTTCAGGCTGCTGCTCCAGGGATTAGCCTACAGTAGTGAAATACAAAGGACCCAGAGACACTCACTGGAGGATGGCCCTAAGTAGCAGCCACACCACTGTCTCCCGATACGCAAAGAAACGGGCTTTTCAGGTATCCTTGCTTCTTCATCACTGAGAAGAGTTTACAGATTGTGACATGGAAAAGTATAATTTTTAAAACCTTATACTTTTCTCTGTGAAAGTCACCTGATGTCAAAACTTGAAAAGAACTCTAATTTTCCAGAAATGGGAGTCACGAAACATTGGGCAATTTTATCTTAGAAAGAAGTCTTTGAATTTAGTCTGAAAGTAAGCTGCTCTGTCTCCATGTCCAGTGATTATGTGCAAGACTGGTACATAAATGAGAAATCCATCCAGTGGCCCTTGCCCATCTCACTCCCAAACACCTGGAGAATGCAATATTATATCTCCTAGAGTAGCAGCATGGTCTCCCTGTGACGGTCCTTGTTCAGTAAGAAGCCTTCTTTCCCCTTCCCTTCTAGAAGGATGAGTCAGAACCATCGAGAAAAGCATGAGGGGCAGAGGCATATAGTTTACCATTACCACTAGTTTAGAATTGCCACTTAGCACTTGACTCTCTATTACATACAGTAGTTGTGCTCAACAAATGTATGATAGATTAATCGTTGAGTTTCTTCTTCTCCATATTTATCTTCCATGACACCACAGAGAGCAATGTTTTCCAAGAATGTTCTTCAGGCTTTGAAAGCAGCCTGCTTTAGAGAAACTGTCTACTGTGCAGCCTCCAACCAAGATGGAAAGCTGGAAAAACACAAAGGGATTTCGTTTTGTTTTGTTTGCTTTGGTTTTAAAACGAATGTTCCCTGACGAAAAAGCCAAGCATAATGTCATTGCAACTAGACAATCAGTCTCTCTCAAGAATTTTTCTAACAAATGAGGAGGCCAATTTTTATTTTATTTTATTTATTTATTTTTGAGACAAAGTCCTACTCTGTCACCCAGGCTGGAGTGCAATGGCATGATCTTGGCTCACTACAACCTCTGCCTTTCAGGTTCAAGTGATTCTCCTCTCTCTGTTTCCCAAGTAGCTGGGATTACAGGTGCCTGCCACCACGCCTGACTAATTTTCTGTATTTTTAGCAGAGACAGTGTTTCACCATGTTGGCCAGGCTGGTATCAAACTCCTGACCTTAAGTGATGCACCTGCCTTGGCCTCCCAAAGTGCTGGGATTACAGGATTACACCGTGCCCAGCCCAGGAGGCCAATTTTTAAAAGATTAATCATTTCTTTTGAACATGAATGTTAATTTTTTTTTTTCTTTTTTTGAGGCAGAGTCTAGCTCTGTTACCCAGGCTGGAATGCAATGGAACAGTTTCGGCTCACTGCAGCCTCCTCCTCCCAGGTTCAAGCAGTTCTCTGCCTTGGCCTCCCAAATAGCTGGGATTACAGGCCCATGCCACCATGCCCGGTTAATTTTTATGTTTTTAGTAGAGACAGGGTTTCACCATGTTGGCCAGGATGGTCTCAAACTCCTGACCTCCCAAAGTGCTGGGATTATAGGAGTGAGCCACCACGCCCAGCCGAATGTTAGTCTTTAAAAAATTTTTCTTCTCCAATGCCTTCTCCTCCACTTTTTTTCAGAATTTGTTTCTTCCAATTACAGCATGGTGTGGAGGAAACCGCAGCTGGGTGCAGAAAGCTAGGTGTCACTGCGCATGCGTATGTGGTAGACTGCAGCAACAGAGAAGAGATCTATAGCTCTGTAAACCAGGTGAGACTTCAGGTTCACAAATATCTTCAGATGATTTTGTTTCCACGGACGCTGACATGGAAAATGGGAAGAAAGTTCTTTATGATTGCCTGATTTAAATTAGATTGTAGCTACTAACTGAAGTAGTTATGTGACCAAAGAAGGATAAATACCTTTTTTCTTGTATGTCATCCACTCAGTCCATTATTATTATTTCATATCATTAATCAACTTCATTCTGATCAGAAGTGTGAGCAGTGGCACAAAGTGACTGACAAAAGATTTATCATCAGGGAATATGGATCACTTCTTGGTTTTGTTTTAGTACTATTAACTTGGCAGTAATTCTGTCTTCTCTAATTATTTCCCTTGTGAGATTTTATTTTGGTGTTAATCTAGTCTTTTATAGAAAATGTAATATTAATAATTATCACAATTATTTTAAGAGTAAATATCAAATCATCACAATGAACCAAGCACTCCAACAAACTACATTTTTAAATTTATTCCCTACAATAACACTGTAAACTTTGTTTTACAGATAACAAATTGTGACTCAGAGAGGTTAAGCCAGACCAAGGTCATGTAGTTAGTAGGCTGTGAAACCAGGATTACTCAAACAGCACTTTAGACCAGGTGCAGTGGTTCATACTTGTAATCCCAGTACTTCGTGAGGCCAAGGTGGAAGGATCGCAAGAGACCAAGACTTTGAGACCAGACTGGGCAATGTAGTGAGAAACTGTCTCTACAAAATAAAAAAAAAAAAAATTAAAGAAAAACACATTTTAAAAAATGGACATTTTAAAAATGTTTGGTCAGAGCTTATATTGGAATTTATCAACATAAATGCTAATTTCACTTTATTGATACACTTTTAAAATCCATGATATGCTGGGCACTGAAATTTAGATGTTAAAAGAACAGTTTGTCCTACTTTTATGACAGTGTTCCCTTGGCCTCCGCCATTTGAGCTCAACAGTCTGTCTTGCCTGCACTCTCAGAGACCTTACCCAGTAGAAGAAAGACTCTAATCTCTGGATTATATTGGCACCAAAACTTTGACTTCGTATAACACACCCAATGAATGTGTTCTTTCAATTTCAAAAGGTGAAGAAAGAAGTGGGTGATGTAACAATCGTGGTGAATAATGCTGGGACAATATATCCAGCTGATCTTCTTAGTACCAAGGATGAAGAGATTACCAAGACATTCGAGGTCAACATCTTAGGACATTTTTGGGTGAGTGTGAGTCAGAAACATTTCTGATTTGTGCACCTTCTCTTAAGATACATGAAACTTATCAAGGAGTTCACATACTTCTGGGCAGGAAACGGGCCAGATCTTTGCCTTAATTAAGAATCATCAAATTTGTTTGAGTAGTAGAGCCTGACATAAGGACGCAAAGTTCAAGTGGACACAACACAGCAGAATGTAAGCTACTTGGTCTGTCTTGTCCACCAAGACAGACCAAGTGTCTGACACAAGTGTCTGACACAAAGCCTGGCATGTATCGGGAGCTCAACAAATGTTTGTGGAGGTTTGTTAAGGGTTGTCAGTGTATATCTTTTCAGTGCTCTCACTTGGGACCTCATTCTTTCCCTCCACACCATAATTTTGTAATGTGTCCTTATTTTGTGGAATTTTAGAATGGAAAGGACATCAGAAGTAATTACTAGGATGTATGGAGGGTTAGGGAAATTTTTGGATGAGACTCTGAGGAAGTTATAGATCCATGGGATGCTGGAACTACACAGACCTCATATAATTGGTTAGTTTTGTGGGAGATGGAAATATCAACTACACCTGCCTTCGTATAGAACATTTTTTGATTAATCTTCCAGTGCCTCAATATTAGTGTATATCTAGGGCAAATCTGGATTCTGGAAGAAAAAAGAAAAAAAAGGCGATGTGCTTCCCTTACCTTTACCAGCTCCTCACATAGGTAAATTGGCTCCCATGCCCACCAAACTACATGGAGACCTCATATATTAGTTACTGATAGCTGCATAACAAACTATACAAAACTTAGTGGTTTAAAGCAATAGTATGTGTTCACTATCATCTCATGGTTTCTGTGGGTTGGGAATTTAATGATAGCTTGGGTTGGCAGTTCTAGTTCTATGAATTTGTGTAGGATATATTAAATTATTATAAAATTTCATTGATATTTCCTACAAAAGAGGTTTTTGGTAAAAAAGAAAGACTTGTTTTCTGTAACATCAATATATAATATACAATATTACAAATAGGGAGATAGTGAATTCAATCGTGATGCATAAGTGTTGCGCAGAACTCCCAGCTTACACTACTCAAGGGTCTTAGTTACGCAAGATTTCACTCTTTTAATTAGAATAATAAAGCCTCAAACCAAAGAATTACTTGACACCAAATTATCATAAGGAATTATTTTACTTCTGAAAACTCTGAATTTTTCCCTTAATATTGTTTAGAGATGACATATCCAAAAAAGGATCTATTTGATTCCTTCTGAAGGGAAGGAGGGAGAATACTGATAATAGTGTGGGGTATACCATACTCAATGCCAGCTTAAACCAATAAATTTGTATCTTTATTTCTATCATTTTTATAGAATTCATCATGGAATGCTGGGAAGTATTTTATTTCATTGTCTAAGTTCTCTCAAATGCCTTTCTGTCTTAACAAAAAATAAAACTACCTGATTTGGAAACCTAATACCTATACCATTGTTTTTCTGCTTTCTGCAATGATCCTTAAGATCACAAAAGCACTTCTTCCATCGATGATGGAGAGAAATCATGGCCACATCGTCACAGTGGCTTCAGTTTGCGGCCACAAAGTGATTCCTTATCTCATCCCATATTGGTAAGTATCACTTGCCAGCCATGTTACATAGTTTTGTACTTTGAAGGGGGCATTACACTTTAAATTTTTACCAGTGGAGGGTGTCCTGGTTCTTGGCATCTTGAACAAAGAATTGGACAAAATGCACAAACAAAGCAAGGAAAGAATGAAACAGCAAAAGCAGAGATTTATTGAAAATGAAAGTGGGCTCCATGGTGTGGGAGTGGCCCCAAGCACAGGGGCTCAACGGCTCCATTACAGAATTTTCTGAGGTTTAAATACCCTCTAGAGGTTTCCGTTGTTTGCTTGGTGTATGTCCTATGTAAATGAAGGGGATGAAGTAAAGTTACAAAGTCATTTACTCAGTGTACACCCTATGTACATGGAGAGGATATTTCCTGTCATAGCCGAAGTGTTTCCATTTGATTTCGTTCTAGGAAGTCAGCATGAATCGGCCTTACGTTCCCTGCCTCCAGACCCTATTCTCCTGCCTCAAGATTGCAGTGCTTAGAGCAGAGTGATTTGGATTTACAGAATTTAAATTTACAGTAGTTTAGAATGAATTTTTTAAGTGACTTTTTCTAAAACAAAGAAACTGTGCTGTAATTATATTTTAAATATTTTTAGATTTCTGCAAACTCTTCCATAGAATGATGAGAGAAAACAGTAATGCCAAGCATGTTTCCATTGTTTCCTGGACTAAGAAACAGAAACCAGCTGGGCAAGGTGGCTCACGCCTGTAATCCCAGCACTTTGGGAGGCCAAGGCAGGCAGATCACTTGAGGTCGGGAGTTCGAGACCAGCTTGATCAACATGGAGAAAACCATCTCTACTAAAAATACAAAATTAGCCAGGCATGTTAGCGCATGCCTATAATCCCAGCTACTTGGGAAGTTGAGGCAGGAGAATTGCTTGAACCCGGGAGGTGGAGGTTGCCATGAGCCAATATGGCACCATTGCACTTCAGCCAAGAGCAAAATTCTGTCTAAGGAAGGAAGGAAGGAAAAAATAAAAAAGAAAGAGAGGAAGGAAGGAAGAAAAAAGAAAGAGAAGGGAGGGAGGGAGGAAAGAAGGAAGGAGAAAAAGAAAGAAAAAGAGAGAAAGAGAAAAAAGAGAGAAAGAAAGAAAGAAAAGAAAAGAAAGAAAGAGAAAGAAGCAGAAACCCCACAGACCAAGAAGCAAAACCTACAGAAGCTAAAATGAACTCATATCTATGTCATGGCCTTGTGCCCAAGATAAGAAAATCAGAGTGGTCCCTGGATCAAAACTTTTTCCAGTGTGCTTGTGCAATGGAAGTATGGAAGTGTGTGTGTGTGTGTGTGTGTGTGTGTGTGTGTGTGAGAGAGAGAGAGAGAGAGAGAGAGAGAGACAGAGAGAGAGAGAGAGAGAGAGAAACAACTCTAACTCAATAAAAGTTGCAGATACCACACTCCATGCACCACCAAAGACATAAAGGGAAGGAGGTGGGAAGTCCTAAGGATATACTACCGTATTTGCCAATTATCCTTTCCTGTAAACTCTTCTCCAGATCCTCATAATAAAATTAAGAGGCCAAAGAGGTAACCATTGTCAAGAGAAAAACTATCAACCCAGTTATTAAGAGAGAGAGGAGAAATGAGCAGAGTCTTACAAAAGTTTGTCAACAGAGATATTAGTTTTGTAGAATTTCTAAATATGATTTTCCTCGTTCTTTTTTTTTTTTTTTTCAAAATAAAAGCAGGAATAAAAATGCATTAGAGAACAGTTTGAAGATTCAATGGAAAATCTTTACATGTAGGATGGAAAACTGAACATTAAGCCAATCAATGGAGTTATTTTCATTCTTTTGCTATCATTGTTGTTTAAGAAATTAGATATATTCACAATTCTGCTTAATCATGTAAGGAAATGAAAATGAATTGCCATTTATGCTCTCAGAAAAATCACCAGTGGATGATTTCAGGGGTTTGGCTTCTACTTGTTCTTTACCCAAATGATACTGCCTTCTCACAGAAAGCTGAGGTTGGCTTCACTCTCCCTTAGCTAACAATGCTTAATAATTCTCTTACAGTTCCAGCAAGTTTGCTGCTGTTGGCTTTCACAGAGGTCTGGAATCAGAACTTGAAGCCTTGGGAAAAACTGGTATCAAAATCTCATGTCTCTGCCCAGTTTTTGTGAATACTGGGTTCACCAAAAATCCAAGCACAAGGTGAGGCCAAAATCAAGTTAAAATGGGACTCTGGCATGATAAATTGATATGAAAACTAATGAGAAATGTTTAGGCAGACCAACTAATAGAAAAAAAAATGATAAAGGAAAAATATTTTTCTAATTAATGTTATTATCTGGAAATTAAAGGAATAAAAGGGAAAAACACATTAGGGACTAGCAGGAATATCAGCTCCCAATGAACTGGGGTATTTATTTGTGTCCAGGAAAAAGCTCAACACACACTCAGGTGCCAACAGCAAGTGGGAAGTGGGAATGGGGCAAGGGGGGCCAGAGAGGTGTGCTTAAGGGAATGGTGAGAGTCTCCTCTCCTGGAAACCACACCCACATAATGAATGATACCTAATATTCCCCCCTTCCATTTGCGTTTCATCCTCTTCAAATAGAGCATGGAAAGGTGTAGGTATTTATGCATTTTTTATGTCTTCCACATCACTGGCCACAATGTTAACTTAAGGCACCCAAACATTTTCCAAGCCTGTCTCATCCTAAGAATTATTGCTCATGCCTACTTAAAAAAATAAAGTTCATAGGCTCATCCTTAGAAATTCTGATTCAGTAGACTAGGATTAGCTCCAAGAATTAGGAGTTTTGTTTTGTTTTGTTTTGTTTTACAAGCATACCAGATGAGGCTAGAGACAGACTTGGAAATTTTTGATGTATTCTATATAACCAGAGTGCATGCTTGTAGTCCTAGAGATTCGGGAGGCTCAGGCAAGGGGATGGCTTGAGCCCAGAAGTTTGAGGCTGTAGTGCACTATGATTGCACCTGTGAATAGCCACTGCACTCCATCCAGGGCACCGTAGTGAGACCTCTGTCTCTAAATACACACACACACACACACACACACACACACACACACGCAAATCTCTACATACCTTTGATCTCTGTTACCACCCTGTTTTTAAAATGCAAATGTTCCAAGGAGCAGCAAATGAGTCTAGCTTCTTAGTTAAGGTGAACTTCTGCAAGAACTCTTGTCTCTGGTGAGAGAGGATTTGAGACCATAAAAGAAAGGAAATTAGTCCTGAAAGGAGAAGAAAAAAGTGGGAAGGTGAGGATAAGGACCCGAAAATTAAGCCATCTGTTTCACAAATTTTCCACAATCCTAGTATATGCTCCGCTGCAGGGTAACAAAACATATTAAGCTTAATGATTCAAAAACAATTTTTGGCTGGAAGGGAATTAGTCCTAAATATATTCATTCGAAATAACTAAACAATTCTCTGTTGAGTGCTGCTTCCGTTGAGGCTATTGACTCTTACAGCCTGAGTTAGCTGTGTGGCCTCTGCAGCTGGAGTCACTTCCTGCCACTGGAGTCCTTCATGGTAATAGACCATAGGTACCGTCAACTAAAGAAAAAAAATAAGTTTTGTTTTTGTTTTTGTTTTGAATTGGAGTCTCACCCTGTCTCCCAGGCTGGAGTGCAGTGGCGCAATCTCAGCTCACCACAACCTCCACCTCCCAAGTTCAAGCGATTCTCCTGCCTCAGCCTCCTGAGTAGCTGGGATTACAGGTGCCTGCCACCATGCCTGGCTAATTTCTGCCTTTTTAGTAGAGATGGGGTTTTGCCATGCTGGTCAGGCTGGTCTCAAACTCTTGACCTCAGGTGATCTGTTTGCCTCAGCCTCCCAAAATGCTGGGATTACAGGCTTGAGCCACCGTGCCTGGCCAAAAAAAAAAATAAGTTTTTAAAGAGTTAAAGCTGTTAGTTTTATTTATAAGCCTTACTGAGGACTACAGATGAAGGCCTGTAGCCTGAGAGCAGCCCTTTAGAGAGGTTCAGCAGGACTCCTCTGGCAGTGGGGGCCATGTGCTCTATCCTGTTTTGTCTTCAAAGCATCTTTCTAGAGAGATACACATTGTCACAGAGTCAGGGACTTTGTGAAATTATGCTGACAAGCAGAAGTGAGCAAATGTGGCTTCTTACACTTGCTACGTTGTCTCACAGTACTTCATAAGCATGTGATATGTAAGTAAACACTATGGTACTATTGAAAATCCTGTTTTCTTAGGCAAGGAATTGGGCCCAATAAAAACTCTCCTCATAGGCATTCAGGATTAGTGTACAATGAGTTTTCCTAAGGGTATCCTGCCACTCTTAAGAAAGGCATAGTAGATCAGGAGAGTAAGGATAATGGAACCCTGGACAACAGGGCTCCTAGGGGCTAACTTAGGGACAAAAATAGACAATGCTAAAGATTTGGGATTGATTTTATTGAGGTTGCAGGATTGTTAATTTCCTTAGTAAGGGCAAAGGCATTGATACGTAATGTCACACTTGGCTCAGAGGCTGGGTTGTTCGATCCATGTCGTTGAAATGGGGGAGAGAACGGGCAGAACCAAGTAATTTAGAAATGTATTGATATGTATTACTCTTTGCTGGTTTGTTATTCAATGCAGTGGAGACCTCAATCACATGATAATCTGCAGTAAACCACAGATCATCCCAGGGAATTAAGTTTTAACATTCACTGTTTCCTTAACTCCTCTGCCCAACCTTTGTATGCACTGGCTGTTCGGTCCGTGCCTAGACATCTTAATTTGAATAAAACACTTTAAAATCATTTGTGTTTTAATTTTCTGTCATCATCTTGCACTAACAGGTAATTCTACATTAGGCCTATGTTTATGAATATTTTGCAAGAATACATATACACAGCCTACAGTATAAGGAAGGTCATGCCTCTAGTTGTCATACTCCTTGGGCCCCTCTTAAATTCTCATTAAACTGCAAGATAGGCAAATCAGAGGTGAATCTCAAATACGAAATTCTTACCAGAATGGGGTTCCAATCCAGACCTAAAGAGAGGGTTCTTAGATTTCTCGCAAGAAAGAATTCAGGGCAAGTCCTCAATGCAAAGCAAAAGCAAGTCTATTAGCAAAGTAAAGGAGTAGAGAATGGCCACTCCATGGCAGAAGAATGGCTTGAGCTGCTCCATCAAGGATACTTGGAGTTACTTCTTGATTATATGGTAAACAAGGGGTAGATTATTCATGAGTTTTCTGGGAAAGGGGTGGGCAATTCTCAGAACTGAGGTTTCCTCCCCTTTTTAGACCATAGAGGGTAACTTCCTGCCATTGCCATGGCATTGGTAAACTGTGATGGTGCCCAGCGGAAGTGTCTCTTAGCATGCTAATGTATTATCGTTAGCATTCGCTTGTAATGAGCAGTGAAGACAACCAGAGGTCACTTTCATCACTCTCTTGATTTTGGTGGGTTTGGGCTGGCTTCTTTACTGCACCCTATTTTATCAGCAAGGTCTTTATGACCTGAATCTTGTGCCAACCTTCTGTCTCATCCTGTGACAAAGAATGCCTTAACTTCCTGGGAATGCAGCCCAGTAGGTGTCAGCCTTATTCTACCCAGACCCTATTCAAGACGGAGTTGCTCTGATCTAAAAGCCTCTGACAAAATGACCTCAAAACAATTCAGCTTTATGGAATACCTCCACAAGAAAGAAAGTATGCTTAGCTATAGAATTTTCTCCGTGCATTGAACAGGCTGTGAGATGTCAGATGTGTCCTTCCTGACCCGTGATCAATCCTAGCCACTCCTCTGTCTTGTCTGGCTCCTCTACTCCTTACCATCTAATGACTCGCCACCATTTTGATATTTTGACTAAGTGAGCTGTGAAACACACCTAATGGATATGAAAGCCTAAGTTTGTGATAACAAAACATCCATGTGGGAGGTGGAGGAAGTGGGTAGAATGGCATTCATGTAGCAAATCTTGAAATATTTTAAATCTTCGTTCTAAATTTAGTAAAACTACAGGATAATTTTCCTGCTATCGTTTATTCATAAAATTAAAATTTTGAAAAATAAAAATAAACTTTTTCTCTTTTTAATCACAGATTATGGCCTGTGTTGGAAACAGATGAAGTTGCAAAAAATCTGATAGATGGAATACTTACCAATAAGAAAATGATTTTTGTTCCATCATATCTCAATATCTTTCTGATGCTACAGAAGTGAGTACAGTACAGAATACTTAAATACTAAAATGCCAGTAGAGCTATTATTTGTTTATTTATTTATTTTGAGACAGAATGTCACTCTGTCACCCAGGCTGGATTGCAGTGGCATGATCTTGACTCACGGCAACCTCCACCTCCCGGGTTCAAGCAATTCTCGTGCCTCAGACCCCCAAGTAACTAGAACTATAGGCGTGTGCTACCACACCACGCCCAGATAATTTTTATATTTTTTGGTAGAGACGGGGTTTCACCATGTTGGCCAGGCTGGACTCGAACTCCAGACTTCAAGTGATCCTCCTGCCTCGGCCTCCCAAAGTGCTGGGATTACAGGCATGAGCCACTGTGCTCTGCCCAATAGAGCTATTATTATGGAGAATCTTTCAGCTGTGAGAATTGGCATGGAAACTCTCCATCCCTAGGGAGAACAGTTAGGTTTCCTCTGTTATTTTCCAACCCAGTCTATAAAAAGAGAATGATTCATTTTCTCTACCAAATCTCCTGTCTCTCCCCAAACTTTGCTGAAGACTATTCTACCTAAAGGAAAGATCATTTTAAAAGAATGCAATATAGTGAAGTAGTTAATAATAAAGACTCAATTTTTAAAAGCCTGCTGGAAGTCTGGTTGGGATTCCACTGAATCTGTAGATCAACGGGGGAGAATTGATGTATCAACAATATTGAGTTTTCTAATCCAAGAATATAATATCTATTTTTTCAATCTTCTTCAAACTCTTTAAATCTTCAAATTGTATTATGTAATTTTTGGTGTTTCAGTGTTGCACATATTTTGTCAGATTTATTCCAAAGTATTTCATAGTTTTTATTTTTGTTTTTGGGTTTTTTTTTTTTTTTTTGAAACTGAGATTCACTCTTTTTGCCCAGGCTGGAGTGCAGTGGTGTGATCTCAGCCCCCTGCAACCTCCACTTCCCAGGTTCAAGCAATTCTCATGTCTCAGCCTCCCTAGTAGCTGAGATTACAGGTGCCCACCTCCATGCCCAACTAATTTTTTGTATTTTTAGTAGAAACGGGGTTTCTTCACCATGTTGGCCAGACTGGTCTCGAACTTCTGACCTCAGATGATCCATCCACCTAGGCCTCCCAAAGTGCTGGGATTACAGATGTGAGCCACCATGCCCAACCCTATTTCATAGTTGTTGACACTAATGCAAATGGCATTGAAAAATGCTTTATATTTCTCAGCTGGGCATAGTGGCTAATGCCTGTGATCCTAGCACTTTGGGAGGCAGAGGCAAGTGGATCAAAAGGTCAGGAGATCAAGACCATCCTGACCAATATGGTGAAACCCTGTCTCTACTAAAAAATACAAAAATTAGCTGGGCATGGTGGCACACATAGTCTCAGCTACTCGGGATGCTGAGGCAGGAAAATTGCTTGAACCTGGGAGGTTGAGGCTGCCATAAACCAAGATCGTGTCATTGCACTCCAACCTGGGTGACAGAGCAAGACTCTGTCTCAAAAAATATACATATATATGTATATATTTTTTATATATCATTTTTTTCTTTTTGTAGATTCCTAGGCCTCTAATTTTCTTTATGGAAAAGTTTTAAATTACAAATTTAATTCCTTTAATAGCTACATGGCTATTCAAGTTACTTACTAATTCTTGGTAATATGTGTCTTTCAAGAAATTTATCCGTTTTTTCTAAGTTGTAGAATTTCTTTGGCATAAATTTGTACATAACAGTCCCTTATTATCCTTTCAACGTGTTCAGAATGTCTCATTACTTTATTTATTTATTTATTTAGTAGGGAGAGTCTCACTTTGTTTCCCAGGTAACAAAGATTTTGAATGACTGGCCTCAAGCAATCCTCCTGCCTTGGCTTCCCAAAGTGCTGGGATTACAGGCATGAGCCACTGCACCTGGCCAAATGAAGATGGTGATAATATCTCCTTTATAAGGATGCTGTAAGAATAAAATAATGTAATACAAAGCACTGAAAAGGTGTAGACTTCAAATGTTGAAGTCTTGGAGAACAGAATTTATATGAAATAGCAATAGCAACAATTTCCCAGAGGAAATCATCTCTCAGCTTTCTTCTGAGGAACAGTTTATAGATTGAAATTGTGTCAGTGAAAAGATAACTATACTAACTTCATAAGTATATGACCTTTTTGAAACAAATTCATATAAACTATGAACAAACTTGAAATAGAACAATTCGAGAACAGGGTGCAAACTGCATTGGTGTATCAATTTGAATATTTTGTTTTAGCTTAAATAGACTAACTTGAGATATCATAGGAGAACCTTGACCCCCAAGAAACATCATCTCAAGAGTCGACTAGGCGGGGTGTGGTGGCTCATACCTGTAATCCCAGCTCTTTCAGAGGCCAAGGTAGGCAAATCACTTGAGGTCAGGAGTTTGAGACTAGCCTGGCCAACATGGTGAAACCCCATCTCTACTAAAAACACAAAAATTAGCAGGCATAGTGGCCTGCATCTGTAATCACTGGCACTCAGGAGGCTGAAGCAGGAGAATCTCTTGAACCAGGTAGGCGGAGGTTGTAGTGAGCTGAGATAATGCCACTGCACTCCAGCCTTAGCAACAGAGCAAGCCTCTGTCTTGGGGAAAAAAATAGTTGACTAAATTAGTATCTTGGTACTAAGCACTGTAGGAAGTGAGTTTCATGGAACCCCTACTCTCTTGGGGCCCAAAGCAAGTCATATTAATATTGAAAAATTTAAAAATTGGCCAGTTGTGATGGCTCATGTCTGTAATCCCAGCACTTTGGGAGGCTAAGGCCAGCAGATCACTTGGGGTCAGGAGTTCAAGACCAGCCTAGCCAACATGGTGAAATCCCACCTCTACTAAAAATACAAAAAAACCTTAGCTAGGTGTGGTGCAGGCACCTGTAATCCCAGCTACTCGGGAGGCTGAGGCAGAATTGTTTGAACCAGGGAGGCAGAGGTTGCAGTGAGCTGAGATTGTACCATTGCACTCTAGCCTGGGCAACGAGCAAAACTGCATCTCAAAAAAGGAAAAAAAAGAAAAATTCAAAAATCATAGCAGACATGCATATGACTAAGGTGATCAACACAATTATTCTGCCTGAGTTGGAGAATAGTATCCCAGTAAAATAAACAAGAGTCTCAAAGTCTTTTGTATACTTTGAAGCTGTCATGGTGATTTGTAACTAGGCAACAGGTATATATTGCTAATCTTCTTTGCATGTAATTCCTTTTACAGAGAGACACAATTTTATGAGCAGATGCAATTACTAGCACAAAGATTGATTTGTGAAAGTAGTTTAAAGGCCCACACAAACTCTCTTCTTATCCTTGTCCTTCTCCCAGCAAAGATCTGCCCTGTCCCTTTGCTCACTCCCACCTAGCCACAAAACAAGGAAGTAGATCCTGTGTTAGGTCAACAATACCAAAGTGATTTTCAATATGACTTTCTTTGTAGAATATGTTATTTCTGCTTCTTAACATAACATTCACTCATACTCTCTTCCTTTTCTCTTCCTTTCTCTCTCTTTTTTTTTTTTTTTTTTTTTTTTGCAAGACAGAGTATCACTCTGTTGCCCAGGCTAGAGTGCAATGGCACAATCTTGGCTTACAGCAACCTCTGCCTCCCAGGTTCAAGTGATTCTCCTGCCTCAGGAGCCTGAGTAGCTGAGATTACAGGCATATGCCACGATGCCCAGCTAAACTTTTTGTATTTTTAGTAGTAATGGGGTTTCACCATGTTGGCCAGGCTGGTCTCGAACTCCTGACCTCGTGATCCACCTGCTTCGCCCTCCCAAAGTGCTGGGATTACAGGTGTGAGCCACTGCATCCGGCCGCTCTCTTCCTTTCATCTGGCTACTCAACTCTCATGCATTCCCAGACATCAGTTGTCCTTTAGAAGCTTTCCTCCACTATCCCAGCCTATGTGAATCCTCCTTCCAGTTATAGCCCTTAATTCTAGATGGCTGATATTTTTGAATAATTGTTTTAAGATGGCCATCTTAGCCTCTCAGCTAAACAATAAGTTCCTCAAAGACAATAGGTATTTTTTAAGTACTTCAGTTTACCTTATTATAGAGTGCATAATAGATATTCAGTAAGTAGAAAAGGAGAGGTGGAGGGTTGTGTAGAATGGATTCTGGTGGTGTCTCTAGGTGAGCTTTTAGCATCAAGATTAATCAGCAGTTTTAGCAATGAGCTCAGATATTCAGTTTTAGATCTTTACTTATGTAAGATAAGGCAGTGAGAAGAGTGGTATATATCAGTGCTTTCTTTATATCTGCATACAATTTGAACTGTGAATATTACAAAGGTGCAAACATAGGTTCAGATAGACTGAGTGATTTTAAATGACCAAAGATGAGCCGTGGTAAGCAACCTGGGTATCTTAGGCTACACTCCCTGGAGAGGGAATATTCCCAAAAACATCTTCAGAGGGATGAACCACACGAAACTCAGTAAAACGTAAATCACGAAGAAGACTGATCACTCTCTTTAGGACATGCAATCAGAATTTTGATGCATGATTACAATTACTAATGTACTCTGCTGCAGGAAGTTAATAAAGTTACTTTTTTGCAGGCTGGAATGTCTTGATGCTGTTATCAGAACACATTTTTCCCCCTTTCTTCCAGCTTCAAATGCAGATTCGTCATTGGGCTGACTTCTAATAATTGCAATGTTTTCTGCATTGAACTTGCAGCAGAAGCCTGACAAAATAGTGTATGTTTAGGCAATAATTTATTTATTTATTTTCAGTTTTTATTTTTTATTTATGTGTTTATTTTTGAGAAAGAGTTTCACTCTTGTCGCCCAGGCTGGAGTGCAATGGGGTGATCTCAGCTCACTGCAACCTCCGTGTTTAGGCAATAATTTAGACTTTACCTTACTTGTCATTACTATAGCAACTACTATAGCTACAAGGCATAATTTTACTGTCTCATTTAAATGTTACGAATTTGAATATTTTTACACTTTTCCTAATGAAGTCCACTGTGAAACCATGTCCAAAAAAAAAGGAAAAAGAAAAGAAAGAAAGATGTACACATAAAGAGGTGGTTGCAAAGGAAGAAAAGAAGAACGGAGGAAAATTCAGTGCCAACCAGATAACTCTCAGGGTATTCTAACTGATCAAAAAATAGAAAGAACTCTGTTGTCAAGCATTTTAAACTGAAAAATTTTCAATTTCTTTTTCTTTTTTGTACAGGTTCCTTCCTGAACGTGCCTTAGCGATTGTAAATCGTATGCAGAATATTCAATTTGAAGCAGTGATTGGCCACAAAGTCAAAATGAAATGAGTAAATAAGCTCCAGCCAGAGATGTATGGATGATAATGATATGAATCTAAGTTTAGAATCAATGCCTCAAAGCTTTATTTCACATTTTTTTCCAGTCCTGTTAATATTTAAAACATTGGCTTGGCACTAGCCCCAGTCAAATGAGCAAGACTAATGGCCTGTTTCTCTGTTTCTCAAGAATATTAATGTAGTTTTTAATAGTCAGGGCTGTTTTTCCTTTCATGCTTCTTAAAAACTTTTGTGGTTACATAAACATACTTAAAAGCTTTTCTTTAAGATGGTTTATTTTATTTTTCCATTCAAAGGTGAACAAAAGCTACCTCCCTAAGAGTAACTACAAAGATAACTTAAATTTCACAATACAGGTATATATACAGTCACAATACAAAACCATGCAAAATTTCAATTTGCTGTAAGTACATTTATCTGAGCCATGTATTTAATTGTTACATATAGATGATCTATAATTGATCATGAGAAAAGTGAAGTTAACATATTATAAATGGTATTTATTGATTACTTTCTATCCACCTTTAGTTCAGAAGGGATTTCCAGAGCTTACCAGAGTATCTAAAATTATAAAGCACACAGTCTTGAGGCAATAAGAGAGTACAGTATAGTGATACATGCTCAGATTTCAAATTAAATATAAGGGGAGCAAGATACAATATTAAAATAACCATTGCACCTAAACAGAATTACCATATGATCCAGCAATTTCACTTCTGGGTATATACCCAAAGGAATTGAAAAGAAAACTCAAACAGATATTGGTACACCCACGTTCACAGCAGCATTATTCACTGTAGACAAAAAGTGGAAGTAATCCAAATATCCATCATTGGATGAAAGGGTAAACAAAATGTGACATATACATACAGTGGCATATTATCCAGCTTTAAACAAGAGGAAATTTCTGATACATGGTACACATGGATGAACCTTGGGAACTTTGTGCTAAGTGAAATGGGCTAACCACAAAAGTACAAAGTATAAATGGTGTATGATCCCAATTACATGAGGTACCTAGAATAATCAGATACACAGAGACAGGAAGTAGAATGGTGGTTGCAGGGGCTGAGGGAAGTGGATAATAGGGAGTTATTATTTAATGGGTACAGAGTGTCAGTTTACGAAGATAAAAAAGTTCTGGAGATGGATGGTGGTGATGACTGCAAAATGTGAATGTACTTGATACCACTGAACTTTACACTAAAAATAGTTAAAACCAGCCAGGCGCGGTGGCTCACACCTGTAATCCCAGCACTTTGGGAGGCCGAGGCAGGCAGATCACCTGAGGTTGGGAGTTCAAGAGCAGCCTGACTAACATGGAGAAACCCCATCTCTTAAAAAAAAAAAAGAAAGAAAGAAAATAAAGAAAAACAAAACAAAACAAAACAAAAAAAAAACCAACATTGATTTCTCACCATTCTGGAGCTGGAAAATCCAAGATCAAGGCACCAGCGATCTGGTGTCTGGTGAGAGCCCACTTCCTGGTTTGCTGGTGGCTGTTTTCTCCTTACAGCCTCGCATGGCAGAGAGGGGAGAAGCAAACTCTCTCGTATGTCTTCTTTTAGGGACACTAGTCCCATTCATGTGGGCTCCATCCTTACGTTCTCATTAACTTCCCAAAGTCCCCATCCCCTAATACCATCACATTAAAGGTTATGTTTAATTCAACATAAGAATTTCAAGGGAGACACATTCAGTCTCTAACACCAACTCATCTTTCCAAAGTTAAGAGGAAACAAACTCCACCATTCAAGCACCAAACTGGATAATCTTAGAGAGTGCCTTGACGTGACAACTTCAGATTTTCAGCAGCATCAAAGTGTCTTAGTGTTTTCTCTAAGACTTCAAACAACTCAGATGATCAGCACAGTTTAGGGAAAAAATTCTGACATCAAAAACTATATGCTATTAACTACATCTTACTACCAAAACTAGTTGCATATTTTAAAATCAGTGGCACAATTGACAAATTTGAATAAGGCCTGTAGATTAGTTATAAAATAAAAACAATGTTAGTTTACCAGTTTTAATAATTGTACCATGGTTTACATAAAATATCGCTATTTGGAGAAACTGGTGAAGGCGATACTTGTACTATTTTTGCCACAACTTTATACTCTTGAAATTATTTCAAAATGAAACATTTTTGAATTAAAATTTTTCTTCTGTGAGTGCTAATTCCTCTATATGTAATTGGCATCTTTTCGGTCAAACTTAATACTTTGCCCTTTTAAAATCCTAAATTTGATGGAAATCACATACTATTAAGGTAAAAATGAGAGAGTGATAATCTTGGTTATTCTACATCTGAGCAAGAAGCAGGTAATGCTGGGAACTTCCTGCACAGAGACCCAGCTACCATTCTTCTTCTTCTTCCTTTTTTTTTTTTTTTTTTTTCATTTTTAGAGATGGGTCTCACTGTGTCACCCAGACAGGAGCATAGTGGTGTGATCATAGCTCATTGTCACTTCAAACTCCTGAGTTCAAGCAATCTTCCTAGCTCTCTGCCTCCCTAGTAGCTGGAACTACAGAGGCACACAGCCACTCTTGGCTAATTTTTATTTTCTGTAGAGACAGGGTGTTGCTATGTTGCCCAGCCTGGTCTCAAACTCCTGGTTTCAAGCAATCTTCCCACCTTGGCCTCCTAAAGTGCTGGGATTATAGGTGTGAGCCACCATGCCTGGCCTTAATATTATTAACAATTTCGAACAAAGGGTCCTACATTTTCATTTTGCACAGGGTCCAAATTAGGTAGCTGATCCTGGCTGAAGGCACCTTCGGTTCCAATAAGGTCTCATTGGGATAAGATTTTATTTTTTATTTATTTATTTATTTTTATTTATTTGGATAAGATTTTATAGGCACCACAGCCTTCAGTGCCTAAATCCCTGCCAGAGTCCAGTCCCTTTAAGCTGAAAGTGAGACTCCAGCCTCAAGGGTGTTTATAATTTACCTGAAAAGTACTTAGTGAATGTTAATTCCCACCCATTTCCCTCATTCTTCCTCTCTCTCCTCCCCATTTTCCATCCTTCCCTTCCCTTTTCTTCCCCATCTTATTCTCCTTTCTTCGTCCATTTCTTCCCCTTCTAGTTCTCCCACTACCTTACCTATTTTTCCTGCCCCATTCTGTCTCTCCTCCCCTATTTCTAAGGTTTCAAATTCTCAGTCCTTTCTTCTATCCCTCCTTCCCCTTCTATCCTACCCATATCCACCCACATTCCCTGTTCTGGGTGGGGCCTTCGAGAGCTGGTGACCCAGGAGCTGGTGTGGCCAGAGACAAGAAGTTTTGGTGCTTCAACTAATGCCAACTCTAAGATCCCAGAATGACCAAACTTGGGCTACTCTGGTCATGCAGAGAGGAAATCAATTACTGTCTCTTGACTTTTCCAATTTACATTTCAAATTTGTATTCCCTCTTTTCTGTTCATTTTGGATTGAATCCAAGAAAAAAATCCACCTTTGGATGTCTTGAAGAGGAACTTACCTCTTTCAAATGATCTGAAGGCTGGGTGCAGTGGCTCATGCCTGTAATCTCAACATTTTGAAAGGACAAGAGAAGATTGCTTGAGCCCAGGAGATCAAAACTAGCTTGGGCAGCATAGCAAGACCTTGTCTTTACAAAAAATCAAAAAATTAGCCAAGTATGATGGTGTGCAGCTGTAGTCCAAGCTACTCAGTAAGCTAAGGCAGGAGGAGCACTTGAACCTGGGAGGTTAAGGCCCCAGTGACCTATGCTGGTGTCATTGCATTCAAACGTGAGCAAGAGAGTGAGACCCTGCCTCAAAAAAAATAAAGAAATAAAAATAAAGAAAGAAAAGAAAACAAAAAGAAGAAATGACCTGAAAATAGATCTGAAGGAAAGGAAATAAGACTAGAACTCTCTCAAGGTCCTGAAGTCTTATAAATTTGCAGAAGGCAAGGTTAGTCTGTGGTCAATCCTGTCAACATAAAAACCTTACGTTGCTTATTCATGCTTACATAACATATCACCAGAGGTGGCTGCATCTCATTAGAGTCTCCATGCTCTTCATAGAAGGTACTGTCCTTTTTTTTTTTTTTTTTTTTTTTTTTTTTTTTTTCAGAACCTTGCTAAACAGCAGAAAGGTAAGGATTACAAATCTCTGCTAGCAAAGCTCAAACAGAAACAAACAAAACACATCTCAGGGTGGTGCCAAAACCAATGGCAGCAGTAGTTTTTATTTGCCCAAGCCCCTGCCCAGTGGGAGTCTGCTGATTTTGGTGTGAAGAACTTTGTTCCCTTTCAGTAAAATCAAAACACATTGGGACAGAGGTGTCAGCTGGGTTCATACAAAGGAATATATTTTCTTAGTTCAGACACAGTGGAAAATGAACTAATCTAGAGTAGGTTCTGGAAAAGAAATCATATTCTTTTCATGGCAGGAAGAGTGGGAAGAGGTAGAGGCCTTTCAGTATTGTTTGTTTTATGTATGTTTAAGGGACAGTGGTTTTCTAGAAATAGAGAAAGTGTTGTGGGATAAAGAAAGAGAATGATCATTTTGTTGGATCAGGTGACCAAAAATGTTTTGCCAAGTTAAGTAAAGGGTGAGTAGCCTGTGAGGTGCAGTGGCTCATGCTTGTAATCCCAGCACTTTAAGGGGCTGAGGAAGGGAGATCCCTTGAGCTCAGGAGTTTGAGACCAGCCTGGGCAACATGGGCCCTGCCTCTACAATTTTCTTTTTTTTTTTTTGAGATGGAATTTCACTCTTGTTGCCCAGGCTGGAGTGCAATGGCGTGATCTCAGCTCACCATAACCTCTGCCTCCTGTGTTCAAGCAATTCTCCTGCCTCAGCCTCCCAAGTAGCTGGGATTACAGGTGCCTGCCACTACGCCCAGCTAATTTCATATTTTTAGTAGAAATGGGGTTTCTCCATGTTGATCGGGCTGATCTTGAACTCCCAACCTCAGGTAATCCATCTACCTCAGCCTCCCAAAGTGCTGTGATTACAGGCGTGAGCCATCATGCCCAGCCTTTTTATTTTATTTCATTTTTTTTTTTAATTAGCTCAGTGTGATGGTATGCACCTGTAGCCCCAGCTACTCAGGAGGCTGAGGTGGGAGGATGGCTTGAGCCAGGAGTTTGAGACCCTAGTGAGCTATGATTGCACCATCACACTCCAGCCTGGGCTGTGGGCAGCAATAGCCGCCATTTTGTGATCTGCTCAGCCATGTTGTGGTTTGCGTTTAATGTTTCCTGTTGACAAGTTTCAGTCTTTGTTTCCTCGCTGATAAGTTTCAGTAATGTTTCAGTTTCTGTTTCCCCGCTGATAAGTTTCAGTAATGTTTCAGTTTTGAAGGCCGGAATTTCCCAACTGCAAGCTTCCTTTGCCCCGCCT